TACACGACAAATCGGCCGCCTGTTTACCGCCAGAATTAGACAAAAGAACAGAGCTCCGCCGTTTAAATGGCTGATTGGCTTAACGGGGGTTCAATTCCTCGGGGTCGCGCGACCCCCCTCCGATATCCGGTCGTTCCGTGACCTTTCACCCGTAGTGGAAGGCACGGTGGTGTCACGGTGGAGTCGGCGCCTCCGCAAACAGCGTTTCGCATTGACGTAATATACAAAGTACGAACCCGAAAATTGGTAAACCTTTGGATTTTGCGTGCAGAGGGGGTAAAAGGCTGCAAGCAGCCTGTAAACGCTCTTGCAATTTTTCAATCGAATCATTTACCAATCTTTTACAGTGACAGGAAGAAAATTGGACCGAGAGTTTGCTCAGGATATATTGGCAAACTTGGAGTGGTTATTATTGTCGACGGGTGAAAGTGTTTAGCTAGCACGGCGTATTATCTTTCGCCACGAAAGAAGAAAGTCGCCGGTGAGTCGGAGAAGATGCCTTTTCTTTGTTCTTTTGTTCTTGTCGCTTGTTTTCGAGGCGAACGTGCTATGAAACGGTAAACCTGAAGAATCACCGCGAGTTATTTGCGCAGCTTATGCTCGGCCTCGGTGAAAGGGTAGCCGGTGTTGCTCCAACTGAAAAATAAACGGGATAAATTTGCTTTCGGCCATTGCGTCGATATCTCGTTCGCTGGTATACAGCAATAAAATATCGAAGTTTAAAAAAGAATCGAGAAACGTAGGACCTTGCTGAAACCTTGTCCTTATTGATCCAATTACGCTCGAGCATAGCTGGAACAGTTTCGAGCAAGTGTCAGCTTCGTTTAACCTTGGAGCGACCTTAGATGTAAAAGAAAAGTGATCTTGAATATCGAGTTCCGAGACAGTGTTAGAATTATGCTAATGTACGCTCAAGGCTCGACATATTACATATTTCTCGTGTCCTGAAGGACGAAGAAAATATTCAGAAATTCGCGTTGCATATACGAAATCCTAGTGGAATTCTGGTGAAAGTTTTGACAAAAGAGAGCGCTCATTGATAACGCGTAATGGCATAAAAAGGAGTTCTTAGACTACAGTTATGACGAATTGTCATCGCGAATACGCGGTAGTGTTTAACTGAAAGTATCTCCTACTACCTCCGCGCATTATCTCTGGTCGCGACATTAACCTTGAGCAGAATAGATTGACTCGACTCCACCCCATGTAACGAATGAAAATGACATTTCTCCTTCGAGAGATCACCTACGCGTTGCTCTCCTAACGTACGATTAAACTCGAAGTCGCTGGTTCGTTCACGAAAACAAGATATTTTCCGCATACTCGCACACGCTGCCATGTGTTGGAGAACACGACGAATAAATAGTCACGCTCTGTTCGACGAGTGGAGCCAAACGGAAGAACCGTTGTCATAGTTTCCACCAGCCGTGTGATCCTCTATCACGAATGTCTTGCTATTTCAGCGATAACGGCCGACTTAACTGTAGAAAAAGTGCGTTGTAACAACGAACGAGGCCAGTGTTCGCGGTCCTGTTTGTCCAGCAAACGGCCCCGATATCGTCGTCAAAATGGCCCGTTGTCGGCGGCGCATCGTCAAAGATAAATTTAGAAACATTTAAATCGAGAGAGTACTTATCGCTAAGCAGCTGGTATCATACTTCAATACGCTTGAAACGCTTTTATCGTCCCTGCGGTGATTACGCGCCGCATTTCCATTCTTAAGACTCGTCGAGATCGCGTTTGACGTGAAAGACCACGATCTCGCGTGACAATATAACAAACTTATCGCTTAAACTTATACTAATTGACTTATTAAGCTCGTGCTCAAATTAGAGCGATCGATGAATGCGAAGAAGCTGTAAAATATTTCGAGGCATTCGTCGAATCATTTCCTCGATGAAGGTAGCCTTAGACGTTGAAATTTCAATGTCGTCACACGAAGTGGAGTAATTAGAAACAGAATATCTCGTTGGTATTAAGCAAAGAAATCACACGATTGTCTCTAGACATTGACAATTAAAAAGCTCGTTTAAATCTCGCCATATATTGATCACACTTGTACACACGCGTTGCCATTTATAAATAACCAAGTGAACACGCCTAAGACCTATTACAGGTGTCTGCGCATGGACACAGTGTGCTGCCTCTCAGAAGACTGTCACAGAATCGATAAGGAACACACGCGCTCCACAAAATCACGTCGCTTCGAAGATCTTGCTCTCGCTGCGGTTAAGATTTGCACGAAGCGTAGGTGTACAGAAATTGAATCAGGATCACGATGTACATCAAGATACCTCCGATGATCTACAAAGATAGGCATAATGTGTGTTACAAGTTTACCTTACGAGGTCGGGTCTCTTACCTTCATCAGGAACGAGGAGTTCATGTCGAATGCTTTCGTAGTGAATATGTTGTTCCTTTGCAGTATTTGCAGAGAGAAAAGCTGTACCTGCAATTTTACCATAAACGTGATAAGTATATCGTTTCTTCTGAAAGCTCTTACAACCATCCTTTGACGATTGCAATGCTAATTAAGAATTGCTATAGAATTTAAGTCATCTATGAATAGATGAATCCAATGGCTATAGTACAGTGTTGATGGCTATACTCAGTACTGTATTGCCAATTGCAAACGTGTCTAGCGATAATTGATCTATCTATCGATCATACTAGAATTGCTATAGAATTTACGTGATCAGTGAATTGATTAATCCAATGTCTATAGTACCGTGATGATGGCTATACTCGTTACTGTATTGGAAATTGTAAACATCTCTAGAGATAATTGATATATTCATTGATCATTCTAGAATTGCTATAGAATTTATATGATCAGTGAGTAAGTTAATACAATGGCTATAGTCCTGTGTTGATGACTGTACTCGGTACTGTGTTGTCAGTTGTTAACCCTTTGCACTCGACGACTTTTTCGTTACAGAGAAATAGTAATTCGTGATAGTAATTTCTGTCATAGAGTCGACGAAATTTTTAAAATGGTAAATGAGAAATCATATGCAAATTAAGACGTAGAATTATTTTTCTTCGACATTCTATACATCGTTAGGTAATTTTATATTTGATATATTAATTAACCTACGATCTTCAGAATTTGATTAAATAGTGACTGAGAGTCACCTCTCGAGTGCAAAGGATTAATATATCCAGCGATAATTGATGAATCTTTTGATCAGTCCAGAATTGCTAAAGCATTTACATGATCAGTGAACAGATTAATCCAATGGCTATAGTACTGTTTATAAGGCTATAAGCAGAACTCTCAAAAACTGACTCTCACTTGCTATCTCTCAAGGAACTCTGACTCTAAAACACACACTGACTCTTCCGCGTCCTTGCACCCTTATTTAAACTTCTTCCATGCTCGTGCTCTCTTTCTCAATGGGTAGGACACGTATCCTAAACACTCACACGTATTCCTAGGCTTTCGCTCTTCACTTACACTCGATACTGCCATAAATATCCCGTTCATGCTATCCTTGCACGAGGTCACTCGTCCTTCCGCACGCAGTCCAGATAACACCCTAAAGGGCTAGAGCCAAACTTGAGATCTCTGTTCATCATCCTCCATTTTGGAGGAATGGCCCAAGCGTTCCAATACACTCTACAGTCGTACCTACGCAAGAAGTACTGTCACAGGCGGTGACCTTATATTCTAATCACGCCCACCATCGCTCTTACCATTCCCACATTACCTCGTGTTTTATCATAGGGTCGGTCGTGTCACTGAAAACTTCGTAAAGCGTCATCTTAATTTTGTTCGCTTGATTCACCGCCTTCTCACATGCCCAGATTATCAGCGAAAACTTAAAGAAAGAAAGAGACGCTGGCCCAAGATCTTGTGAATACCAGAACTTGTTGTTGGTAAGGACAATGTCATAGGAATGAATTATCTTGAAGTATATATTGAAAGACATCTCGATGAACGTCATGAGAGACAAAATTATGATACGTATCATGAAGGTATTGTTCACCGATTGAACCGCGTCGCTGATCTGCATGTGCTTCTCCTCTAAATCCTTCATTTTCAGCAGCAGCATGACATTGTTCTGGTCAAGGATGATAAACGTTCGTGGAACGAGACCATCGTCGAATTGAACCCTCTTCAATTCCCAGATTCCCTGGTCCAATTTTTTAAAGCAAACACTCAAGATGTACACGCAGTTGAAGTAAAACATGTCGATCACAAAGTTGACCGCGGTTATGTACAGATTGGTGAAATTCTTCACAGTCAGGAAAATGTTGTGCTTCAAACAATTCGGTAAATGAGACAGAAGAATTAGGAAATAAACGATATCCTTCGTGTGAATTACTTTTGCTAAACTATCGAATTCCTTTGCAGGCAACATCGAGGATATCTGCGATATGTTCTGAAGTACGGATAACCGTGAACCGGTTAAAGCGTACATCACCAGGATAACAATTCCTTCCAGGAATATGTACAAGTTCTCGTGAATTGTTTCGGGTACACTGTAGGTTACGGCGTCCAGAAAATTGATCTCGTAGATCACGACAAGCAACAGAAATACATAAATGATCATCAAGAGCGTGTTAAAAGCGAAACGGATTCTCGAAAATACGTATGTATAAGGGGTTCTCTTGTAAGGGAAGTATCCGAGTATAGCAGTGATGAAGAAGCAAGGACGCATCAGCGAATCGAAGTCTTTAGCGGATAATGGCCTCCATGCTTTTTGATTCCCAAATTTCTCGATTTTCGTTGTCCCCTTGAGCATTTTAAACGCTGAAACGTCGATCAGAGATTCGAAACGAAAGAAATTCGATGTTAGGCGTAGAGGAACACGAATGGTCGTGGACTGACTGTTGGTATCCTTCGCGAAGAAGCGATGTTTCTAACACAAAGCACTTTCAATAATGATATTCGACCATCGCAGTGCAGAAAAATACAGCTCGACAATGAAAGGTATGTATGTAAATAGATAACACGGCATTAGTTCTTCGTCGAAGGATGAAAATGCTTTTAAGTAAATTAAACTTGATAAACTGTGTATTTATCGCAAAAAAACTACATTCCTTATGGATTAGTTTTCGATCCACACGATTATCTCTTGAATATATCCCGTCCATTAACACGTTAAGTGCTCAGCCTGTTTTGCTTGTCGTTCGGTTCAGGCCCAGACTCGGCGGTCAAGTGGGCCATCGACGGCGGGCAAAGTGTTCATTAAACTCGAAGATACTGTACCAGTTTTTATAACAGGAACTCCCGAACGTTAGGTCCAAAGATGGCGGAGAATTTAACACCAAAAGTTAGCACCTTTTGGTCCTAATCTGGGCCAGTTACTGAGGACCAGCCGAGTCCGAACGGAAAGTCTAGCGACGGTCCCTGGAGCTGGCGTGGCACTTAACGCGTTAACCCTTTGCACTCGACGATTTTTTGGCTAGAGAAGAGTAGAAAATCAAAGATTCTCTACTAAAAATCTGACGATACATTTTTCAGCAATAAATAAAGAATTGTATAATAATAGAATTGTATAATTATTTGATTTCAATATTTCACACAGTGTTACAGTACATTAAATTTGATATATTAACACTAGATTTATGGAACCCGTGAATTTGACGGAAGGGTTGCTCCAATTATACGATGGCAACAGATTTAGTTAATTTATATTAAGACTGTTAATACAATATATAATTGATTTTAAATGAAACTAATCGTTAAAAAGAAAGGTACGTGGTTTCCTTTACCTGTCAACTTGACAAGTGTCCTTAGAAATAGGTATACAGATAGCATCCGTAAACCTAGTGTTAATTAATATCGAACTTCCAAATTTTATGAAATGGTGCCTGAAGATCACCTCACGAGTGCGAAGGGTTAATAGCAAGACCCTGTCAGCACGGTCTTTTAACAAGACTTACTGATTGAAAATTGTATCACTATTAACAACAAGGTACTGATACCGGACGCAATCTGTAAAGAAAAATCGATGAAAAGAATTAATCTTGCTCGATCGATGATCGTGTAAATTTACCTGTGTCAGATAGGTAAGATCTAATACGAGCCCGTTTATCATGAACGTATTGCCTCTTTGGAGTACTTGCAACGAGAACATCTCCAACTGTAATCACATACATCGAAGTTACTATACATTGACGTATAATCGATTAACCCTTTGCACTCGAGGGGTGACCATCAGTCAACATTTCACAAAATTTGGAAGATCCATATTAATTAATATATCAAATGTAATGTAACAGCGCGCGAGGTATCGAAGTCAAATAATTCTACAAATTCTATTATTATACAATTCTTTATTCACTGCTCGGAAAAGTATCGTCAGTTTTTTAGTAAAGAATCTTTGATTTTCTACTCTTCTGTAGCCAAAAAATCGTCGAGTGCAAAGGTTTAAAATCCAGAAATCGCTCGATCATTAGAGAAAAACTATTGCTCGTTTCACCTTACCTCCGTCGTCACCTTATCATCCGAAGTGTGTATCAGAATTCTATGAATGTTCCAGCCAATTTTCGCCATTTCGTTTCTAGCAATATCGACGACCAAAGTGATAAAAATCACAAGGATTACATTCAACACTCCAAACATGATATCATAGCCGAACTGCTTAACCATGCCTTCATCGCTGTACACAGCTAGATAAGAATAAATGTTGAAAGTCGTGTCAATGAGCAACAAGAATAGGGATGTTTCCATTTGCATACTGAACGCGTCATTCAATTCATGCACGATTTTACTCGTCTCCAAGTATTGCTTCTTTTGGTGTCTCAACATCGAAAGCAACATGGGATTCTTTCGCGAGTGGAAAACTCTCCTGAGGAGATGGGGCTCGTCGTTGATCAGAATTTCCTTCACTTTTTCCAGAGATTCGTTTATCTGCTGGAAACAGGCGCTCAATATGTACACGTTGTTCGTGTACAAATTAATCAGTGCAAAGATCCCAGTAAACATGCACCAGATCAAATAAAAGGCAAGTATGTTAAAATAACTGATGAGTATGGCAATAAAAGAGAAGAGTGGTGTTACGAGTATTAAATCCTTCATGAGGACTATTTTTGTCAGTTTGCAAAAAATTTTTGGAGGCACTACCCGAGAAATGTCTGACACTCGTTGAATCGCTTTGATCATTGATCGATTATTCGCGTAACTAATAAATAAATTTATAAGGCCCACAAATATCAAAATATTAGAGTGCCACTTGTTTGCTTCGTCTCTAAATTTATAGGTAAGATTAAGTACGTATGCTGAATAAATCGTGACGGCGGTGAAAACAATTATTAAGATCGTGGCGTAAACGAAATGTAATTTCCAAAATACGAATTTCGATGACTTGAGTTTGAAGGATAAAATGCCCATGAAACTAACGATGAAAGCAGAAGGTCCTATTAGCAATGCATAACTTGCATAATGTGACCACGTTTTGCGGCTTGTAATTCTCTTCCTTTTTAGTTTACTTAGTCGACGAGACATCGCGTTAAGTTGAACTAAAACGTTGAACCTTTTTCAAATTAATTTTACGTACTTTCTCGCACAAGTATTTCACTTCTTTTAGTTGTATTTCGAATAACTGAAACTTTTTTTCGTACAATAATTGCGTTCCCTTTCGTTACCGTGTGTTAAAGTATACTGAATAAAATGCAACTTGCCACGTAAGCTATATCTAACTAGATAACACGGAATTGTATCTTCGTCGTACGATGCAAATGCTTTTAAGAAAATTGTGCTTGGCATATTCTTTATTTATCGTGAAAAGGTTACATTCTTTATGAATTATCTTTCATCGAACTGAACTATCTCTTAAATATACTCCGTCCATTAATAACAAGACCCTGTCACCACGATTGATCCAAGCTGCCTATCAACAAGGCCTATCGACTAAAAATTGCACCAGGATTAACAAGAAGGTGGTGATACTGCAAACAATCTGTAAAAACAAAATGATGAAATTGAAACGAATTGCTCGATCGAAGTGCGCATAGATTTACCTGTTTCAAGTACGTAAAATCTAACACAATCGCCTTCATCGTGAACGTATTGCCTCTTTGCAGTACTTGCAACGAGAACATCTCCAACTATAATCACACACATCGATGTTACCATGGATGAATCGTCGATTAAGGTCCACAAATCACTCGATCAGTAGGAGCAAATCTATAGCTCGTTTCACCTTACCTCCGTCGTCATCTTTTCATCCGAAGTATGAATCAGGATTCTATGAATATTCCAGCCAATTTTCTCCATTTCACTTCTAGCAATATCGACGACCAAAATTATCACAATCACGTGAACTACGTAGAAAACTGCAAAGATGATATCATACCCGAACTTTTTAATCGTCCCTTCATTGTTGTACACGAGTAAATAAGAATAAATGTTGAAAGTAATGTCAATGAGCAACAAGAATAGCGATGCTTCCATTTGAGTACTAAACGCATTATTCAATTCATGGACGGTTTTACTCGTCTCCAAGTGTTGCTCCTTTTGGCGTCTCAACATCGTGAGCAACACAGGATTCTTCCGCGCGTGGAAAACTCTTCTGCGGAGATGAGGCTCGTCGTTGATCAGAATTTCCTTCAATTTCTCCAGAGATTCGTTTATCTGCTGGAAACAGGCGCTCAACACGTACACGTTGTTCGTGTACAAATTATTCAGTGCCAAGACCCCGACAAACGTGTAGAAAATCAGAACAAAAGGAAGTTTATTATAATATCTGACGAGTATAATAGTAAAACCCAATAATGGCATTATAAGCACTAAATCTTTCACAAAGACTATTTTCGTCAGTTTGCAAAATAGTTTTAGGGGTATCACGCGAGAAATGTCTGACACACGCTGAATTGCTTCGTTCATTGACCGATTATTCGCGTAAGCAGCGACGAAAATTACGAGTCCCAAAAACATGATAATATTACTGTGACACGAGTTTTCTGCACTTATAGATATATAAGTAGTGTTAAGTACGTATACTGAATATATCATACCGGTCGTGGAAACGATTATTAAAATCGTAGCGTAAACGAAATGTAATTTCCAAAATACGAATTTCGATGATTTGAATTTGAAGGATAAAAAACCCATGACACTGGCAATGAAAGCAGAAGGTCCTATTAACAATGCATAACTCTGAACGTGTGACCACGTTTCACGGTTTTTAATTCCCTTCCATTTTAATTCAGTTAATCGACGAAACATTGCGAAAAGTTGAATTAAAACGATGGAACTTTTTTGGAATTACTTGTACGTAGCAGCTCGCAAAAGTATTTAACTTCTTTTAATTTTATTTCAAACAAGTGAACCTTCTTTTTAGAGAAGAATCGCGTTCCCTTTCGTTACCGTGTGTTAAACTAAACTGACTAAAAAGGACCGTGAATTGTACGGTGTATGTAAATAGATAACACGAAATTGTCTCTTCGTCATACGATGAGAATGCTTTTAAGAAAATTGAACTTGGTAAGCTGTGTATTTGCCACAAAAAAAGCTACATTCGTTATGGATTATTTTTCATTCGACGCGATTAGCACTTGAGTATATTCATTAATACCAAGACCCTGTCAGCACCATTGATCCAAACTGTCTGTCAACAAGGCCTATCGATTAAAAATTGCACCAGGATTAACAGGAAGGTGGTGATACCGCAAACAATCTGTAAAAACAAAATGGTGGAATTGAAACGAATTGCACGATCGAAGTGCGCATAGATTTACCTGTCTCAAATAGGTAAAATGTAACACAATCGCTTTCATCGTGAACCTATTGCCCCTTTGCAGTACTTGCAACGAGAACATCTCCAACTATAATCACACACATCGATGTTACCATTGATGAATCGTCGATTAAAGTCCACAAATCACTCGATCACTAGGAGCAAATCTATAGCTCGTTTCACCTTACCTCTGTCGTCATCTTTTCATCCGAAGTATGAATCAGGATTCTATGAATATTCCAGCCAATTTTCTCCATTTCACTTCTAGTAATATCGACGATCAAAATTATCACAATCACGTGAACTACGTAGAAAACTGCAAAATAGATATGACTGCTGAACACTTTAATCTTGCCTCCCTCGTTGTACACGACTAGGTAAGTATAAATGTTGAACGTAATGTCAATGAACAACAAGTATAGCAATGCTTCCATTTGCATACTGAAAGCATCATTCAGTTCATGGACGGCTTTACTCGTCTCCAAGTGTTGCTCCTTTTGGCGCCTCAACATCGAAAGCAACACAGGATTCTTTCGCGCGTGGAAAACTCTTCTGAGAAGATGGGGATCGTCGTTGATCAGAATTTCTTTCACTTTCTCCAGAGATTCGTTTATCTGCTGGAAACAGGTGTACAACACGTACACGTTGTTCGTGTACAAATTACTCAATGCCACGACGCCGAGGAACGTGTACCAAAACAGAAAATGATAAAAGCTGTTATCTAATTTCAAGATTATAAAAATAAAAACTAATAACGGTATTGTAAGCATTAAATCTTTCATGAACACTATTTTTGTCAGTTTGCAAAAAGTGTTTAGAGGTATTACGCGAGTAATCTGTGAGACACGTTGAATCGCTTTGACCACTGATCGATTATTCGCGTAGGCAGCGACGAAAATTATCGGGCTCCAAAACATGATAAAATTACAGTGCAACTGAAGATATTTGCTTGGAAATAGAGAAATAAAGTTGAGTTGATACGCAGTAAAAGCCATGCCGGCTATGTAAAGAATTATCATGGTCGTGGCGTAAACGAAATGTAATTTCAAAAATTCGAATTTCGATGACTTGAATTTGAAGGACAAGAAACCGATGATAGTAGCGACAAAGGCAGAAGGTCCTATTAACAATGCATAACTCGCCAAGTGTGACCACGTTTTGCGGTCTTTAATTCCCTTGAGTTTTAATTCAAAGAGTCCATCAAACATCGCGAAGAGTCGAATTAAAACGATGGTACTTTCCTGAAATTATTTTTACGTAGTTTCTCGCACAGGTATTTAACTTCTTTCAGTTGTATTTCGAATAACTGAAACTTTTTTTCGTAGAATAATTGCGTTCCCTTTCGTTACGGTGTGTTGAAGTATACTGAATAAAATACAACTTGGCATGTGAGGTGTATGTATATAGATAACACGGAATTTTTTTTTCGTCGAACGATGAAAATGCTTTTAAGAAAATTAAACGTGTTAAACTGTGTATTTATAGCGAAAAAGCTACATTCCATATGGATTAATTTCTTTCAACTCTATTGTACCTTGAATACATCTCATCCACTAATACCAACCATGTCAGCATGATTAATCCAAGCTATTTTTCAACAAGGTTTACGAACTAAAAATTGTATCAGTATTAACAAGAAGGTGGTGATACTGCACACAATCTGTAAAGATAAAATGGTGAATTTGAAACGAATTGCTGGATCGAAGTGCGCATAGATTTACCTGTCTCAAATAGGTAAAATGTAACACAATCGCCTTCATCGTGAACGTATTGCCTCTTTGCAGTACTTGCAACGAGAACATCTCCAACTGTAATCACGCACATCGATATTACCATTGATGAATCGTCGATTATGGTCCACAAATGATCAGTAGGAGCAAATCTATAGCTCGTTTCACCTTACCTCCGTCGTCACCTTTTCATCCGAAGTGTGTGTCAAAATTCTATGAATATTCCAGCCAATTTGCTCCATTTCACTTCTAGTAATATCGACAATCACGATTATTACAACCACGAAAATTGCAAATACAATTGCAAAGGTGACATAAAAGTTGTACTTTATTATCTTGTATTCCTCGTTGTACATGAGTAGAAAAGCATAAATGTTGAACGTAATGTCAGTGAACAACAAGAATAGCGTAGCTTCTATTTGCGTACCGAACGCACTATTCAGTTCATGAACTGTTTTACTCGCCTCCAAGTGTTGCTCCTTTTGGCGCCTTAATATTGAAAGCAACATGGGATTCTTCTGCGCGTGGAAAACTCTTCTGAGAAGATGAGGCTCGTCGTTGATCAGAATTTCCTTCACTTTCTCCAGAGATTCGTTTATCTGCTTGAAACAGCAACGCAACACGTACACGTTGTTCATGTACAAATTGCTCAGTGCCACGACCCCGATGAACGTGTACCAAATGAGGAAATAGTAAATTTTGTTAAATTGCAAGAGCGTAGGAAGAAAATATAATAACGACATGATAAACATAAAATCTTTCATGAGGACTACTTTTGTCAGTTTGCAAAAATTTTTTGCAGGTATTACGCGGGAAATCTCTGAGACACGTTGAATCGCTTTAATCATTGATCGATTATTCGCGTAAGCAGCGATGAAAATTATCGGGCTCCAAAATATGGTACAATTGCAGTGCAACAACTGAGATTTGTCTTCAAATTCAAATATCCTGTTAAATACGTATGCAGTATAGACCATTCCGGCTATGTAAAGAGTGATTATGATCGTGGCATAAACGAAATGTAATTTCCAAAATACGAATTTCGATGACTTGAGTTTGAACGACAAGAAACCCATGACAGTAGTGACGAAAGTAGTAGGTCCTATTAACAATGCATAACTCGCAAAGTGTGACCATGTTTTACGGCTATTAATTCCCTTCCATCTTAATTCAGTTAGTCGACTGAACATAGTGAAAGGTAGGATTAAAACAATGGAACCTTTTCTTGAATTAATTTCACGTAGTCTCTCGCACAAGTATTTAGCTTCTTTTAACTTTATTTTCAACAAGTGAACCTTCTTTTTAGAGGAAAATTGCGATCCCTTTCGTTACCGTGTGTTAAATTATACTGAATAAAATGCGACTTGCCATGTAAGGTGTATGTAAATAGATAACACGGAATTTTTTCTTCATCGTACGATGCAAATGCTTTTAAGATGATTAAACTTGGTAATCCGTGTATTTGTCGCAAAAAGGCTACTTTCCTTATGGATTAGTTTCCTTCCAGCTCAATTGTCTCTCGAATGTATCTCATCCACTTATACCAACCGTATCAGCATGATTGATCCAAATTGTTTTTTAACAAGACTTGCGGAATAAAAATTGTATCAGTATTAAGAAAAAGGTGGCGATACCGCACACGATCTGTAACAAGAAAACCATGAAAAGAATTGATCATGCTCGACCGAGGACCACGAAAATTTACCTGTGTGAAATACGTGAAATCTAATACAATCCCCTTCATGGTGAACGTATTGCCTCTTTGGAGTACTTGCAACGAGAACATCTCCAACTGCAATCACATACATCGAAGTTACTGTACATTGACGTATAATCGATTAACCCTTTGCACTCGAGGGGTGACCATCAGTCACCATTTCACAAAATTTGGAAGATCGATATTAATTAATATATCAAATGTAATGTAACAGCGTGCGAGGTATCGAAGTCAAATAATTCTACAAATTCTATTATTATACAATTCTTTATTTACTGCTCGGAAAAGTATCGTCAGTTTTTTAGTAGAGAATCTTTGATTTTCTACTCTTCTGTAGCCAAAAAATCGTCGAGTGCAAAGG